AGACCAGGCACCTGCAGAAAGTGAGGCGATCATCGAGCTGGTGAGTACCATTTCTTCTCAGTTTACAATATTATGCTCTCCGGTGCATTCGTAGTTCAAGGGTAGGTTTGTAAGACACAATGGATAATAAAAAATTGATTATAAAACATTACATAATCATTAAACTATTAATCTGTTATAATCAATCACAATCTCTGTAATAAAAACTTAAAATTAACATTTTCAATATTGGGTTTATTCATTAAAAATAATAGGTTAATTTACCTTAAATTCATATTTGCGAGTTAAATTCTACGTTTTGTAAATTAATCGCTCACTTTTCGCATACGTATGTTTATAAAATAAACTATACTTTTCTAGAATAACACTAGCCTCTAGTGAAATCAGATAAATTGTAAATTCATTATACTGATTAAAAGCTAAGAAAAAAATTCGACGTATTTTGCTTAAGCAGCACTTTTCCTTCTCCCTTATTAGGCACGTTTCGAGTTCTTAAGATTATCCAAAAACATGTAAAGGACGTATTTCCTTTTTTACTTTAAAAACGTACATCGTTTTTAATTTGCAAATATATAGCATAGAGATCGAAACTAAGCTAAACTTGAATAAGAATACGAGGATCTTAAAAAAACTACACTTGTTTAATTCGCCTATTGCAGACAGAACAACTTCGCGGAGAGTAACAATTAGACGAGTCAAAAATGTGATCAGCGATTAGCAATATCTAATTACTTCCGTTAATAAAAACAGATGATTGCTTGCTTCAATCTTTTAAATAATGAAGAAAATTCTTACTTTTATACTATTTCCTGGTTCATTTTCGAGAAGCTGTAAAGCAATATCTTTACAGTCACGTCGGACAGTTGGCGGGACGCGGCTGTCGTCCTCCCATAATCGTGATGGCGAGTGAGCGTACAGCGCCGCGGGTGTAGCATGGGTCACCCTAGATGTTGTTACGATCCCACTTGATTTACCTAACAAGAGAGAAAGAAAGGTTCCAAGGTAAAAAACATCAATCACGTATTATTGTTATAGTTAGTATCAGGGACAGATGTAACCATAAGCGAATCTAGGAGAGTAAATCTCACCTGCAGCGTGAACCCAATCTATTAACGATGTAACTTTGTTGTTAATAGTCGAAGCGCAGTTGTTAAAGCGTGCTCCAGCATCGACACCTACAGTTTCATATCGGGCTTTGACTCCGCAGAAAAGAGCTGTAGCACAAGCTGACGACTCACCCGTTTGAGCGTCAATATTATACGTCTGTAGAAATATTTATAGTAATAAACATCGATCTTAAGAAAACTGTAGTTTAATATTTCGACACGACATAGAGGAAAGTAATGTTGTTCATAGACATGTCATATGTAGAAAAAAAATGGACTGCAAGTAAAAGGATTTGCCTAAAAGGGAGTCATTCCCACATGAATGCTAACAAACATGTACATGTGCACGGAATAGTGCATTACTCGTATGTGCCGACCCTCCATACAGAAAAATGCATACTAATGTATGGTTGGTTAACCTTGTAAACGGTTCGACATAATATTATATCTTTATTCGACAACCTTGATAGCGTTATCACACATTTACGTTAAGTAAATTTACAAATCGTCTAATTTCAAGTAGCTCTTCAACTACAGTAAAAAGATCGTTTTATGTACAAACGAGTCAATATGCAAGTAGAAATATACATTACCTTAGCAAGAGCTACTGCGGGAAATGTATCCCAAATCAAATCTGTATCCTCTCCGGGGAGCCCCTTTCGTTGACCTCGCAATATCCTGGCCGCTGTGGCCGTCGTCAAACTCATACCATCACCCACCACAATAATTATGTTCCTAGATATGAAAAGTAACATTAACTTTTTGTATTTTTTATATAACATAAGGTGATAAACGAGCAAAAGGACGCCTGAATCCGCTGAAATGGAAAGTGACCGCTGCCCATAAACAACCGCAGTTGCAGATGCGTTGCCTACCCTTAATTGACGGAGGAGGAGACGCACATAAAGAGGACATTTTCCCTTCTTATGCGTTTCCTCCACCGTCAAATCCACTTTTCCTTTCCATCCTTTCCTCTTAAGAAAAGGGAAAGGCACCACACTCATCAGACGAAATACGGAATTGCTTCCACTTCACGCCTGATTTCTGTGTGGTCGTGGTATTACATCGGGCGAGCCGACCCATTCGTGCGAAGATGTTAAAGCGGGCTCTACCACTGTTAATTTAAAAAGTTTATTTTAAAAAGATTTTAAAGGGTGCCGGTCCTGGTGTGTCGTAAAATTCCGACTGCGTTGACATTATTAGTAATAAATGTAACAGACGACAATCACATATGAATACAGGTGTGTCAATGCAGTGGAGTTCTGATGGAACATTAACCATTTAAAATCAATCTGATGGCAGGAAGCTATTGATATAATTCTTCGTATAAAGAATCGTCTCGTGACACATCACAATTTTTGCGACAAACCAACATTGTTTCCCACTGACTCTTTATTTCACATATAAGAAACATTCTTGATAAGTGAAAGAAATATAAAAAATATAAAAAAAATGTTAAAATTGTAAAATTTCTCACTTGGCAACTGGATTCTTGTCCGTGGCGTATTGTAAACGCTTTTGGAGCGTTTGCTCTGCTTGAGCGTACCAATAAAGGCGATCTGAACCAAGAGAAATACTCAACATTATCATGGGAAAGAACCCACAAGCAACCAAAAAAATATGTAAACGGCGAATTGCTGAAAAGACTTTACGTTCATTTATAGTCGCATTTACTTGGAAAATAAACGAAAAACTTGAGTGGAACAGATAGCTGACGTTCGTTTTAAATATTGTACGTTGTAATAATACAGTGTATTCAACACTGAAAAAAAGTATTATAATAATTATTTTAAAAACAGATGTTTACGTTACGTTTTAAAATCTATCTTACGTTAGTTTAAAAAAATGCGAGCTAAAGAACTATATTACTTAAATATTTTTCGAGATTCTCATCCATTGAAATACCTTAAAACAAAAATACTGCTAACTTGGAGTAATAATAATTTGATTGTACTAAAAGTTCTGGTTTTGATAACACTCATTAGAACATTTGTATTAGTAACGTTTATTGAACATCAAGGCGTTAGATAAATGAATAGAAATTTTTACATACCATGAACCTCCTTTTCCTCATTTGGATGTGGTGATTTGAGGACCGCAGCGTGACTCATAGTAGTTAACATGATCACGAAACAGCACCAAGTACTCATGGTTGACAATGTACATTAATGTCCCATCATTTATGATAAAACCATCGGCACTTTTGTTTGTACATTTACGTTGTTTTGTTTTCTGAAACAACGTTATTTTTAAGACCTCAGTAGCAGTTTTACCGAATGTCTTTCGTTGCATTTGAAGTCCCGAATGTTTTGTTTTTTTTTTTTGTCTAAATATTATTAAAAACAATCATGTTTTGTTTTAAACACATTTTACGAAAACTAGCACAAAAAAATCCATCCAGTCCAAATAAATTTCAAATTTGGAAGTTCATAATTCGCATATTTTGTAAAACAAAATACGCTAAAAACAAAACATTCTCAAAAAACAATACACTGAAAAGTAACGAAATAATTCCTTGAGAATAGTTAACCTCCCATATTGTAGCTGTTATGTCTATATTGTACAATTATTATTACTTTGATGGCGGTGTCAGCCGAGGTATGCAGTGATATTTCTACGTAATGCTTTCCACATTTTTACCATAACAATTGACAATTGAAAGTATTGAGACGTATTGTGACTTTAAGGAAAAAAAATTGAAAAATATAGACATAACAGCTACAATAAGGGAGGTTTACAATATTCAAGGAATTATTTCGTTACTTTTAGTGTATTGTATTTTTGAGAATATTTTGTTTTTAGTGTATTTTGTTTGGAGGTCGGTTTTGTTTTTTTATTAAATATTTTATTTATTTCTCGATTTTTAGTGAATCTAAACATCGCAATATGATAATCACTAGCTTTCAAACAAAGAATGAGTTATATAAATCGGTTATCTAGGAAATTAAGTAAAGAACTAATACATATTATGGGCGTCACAGCCATGTTATGCTTTAATAATTCATTACCTCTTATGTTTTCTTCCAATTTGCACAGAATACCTTACCAATATGGCCGTCGTATCGTCGAGCTAATGCAATACCCTTATTTTGACATCCAACTACGACCCGATTATTAACATAACAAGCACAATTACGACATTTTAAAACCATGACATAAATATTTTAAAATAAAGTTTAGGATCACAATTACAAAGCTTATAGAGTTATTTCAAATTATGACAAATGGTACTGATACTAAATACTGAGCACAGACTAACAACCTTCAAGAATACAGAATACGTCAAAATAGTCAAAAAGCTAACAGCTCGGCCTTCCAGCAAAGAGCGAGTCCCTTCGCTCTTATATTCTAATTACTTCCTAAAGAGAAGAAAATTATAAACCAAGTGTCTAATTTAACAAAGTCATTAATTATATAATTTGTAATGAAAAAAAATATTTCTAGAAATAAAAACATGGTGCAAAACTGTGCGCCTTCCCTATTAGATCTTATTATTGTATCCTCGCCTGATCATGTCAGCACACATAGACAATTTAAGGCTGAAGCTTTCTTCTATCATGACCTTGTCTTTCTCTCTTACAAAATTCGTTGTCCTAAACCCAAACGCCACATTGTAATGCAGCGGAACTTCAATTCGATCGATAGTGATAAGCTTTTGGCCGAGATCTTTGCTATCGATTGGGATCCTGTCTATTGTGCTCTGACCTTAGACGAGAAGATGGAAATCTTTAACACTGTGCTGTTACAGGTCTTTGACTTACATGTTCCTCCTCGTCCAATTAGGTTGAAACATTTGCCCGCCCCGTGGCTTATCGACGATATTAAAAACTTATGGCCAAAAGAAATGCAGCTAAAATTCGATAATAGATGGAACCCTACCGATCTAAACCACAATAAGTACAAAGAGTAACGCAACAGATGCAGTCGATTATGTAGAGATGCACATTGACGCCATATACATTCTTCCGTTAGCATCGGTGATCTAGCAAAAGTTAGGTTATTTCTTAACTTCCTTGACATCGGCAAAACTAAGTCTCCCCTTTCTCCGAATCTTGACCTCGATGCCCTTAATGTACATTTTACTTCGACCTGCCTCATCCCTTCCTCTGTCAAATAACAATCTATTAATGCTCTTAACCTCCTTCTGAATCTGCCCCTCCGTATCGTCCTTTTACTTTTAATACTGTTTCTTTACAAGATGTTCAGAAATCCATTACCGATATCAAGTCCAATGCTGAGATTGTTGATGTTATTGGTCGGAGGATAATCATTATGGGCTTACCTATTATACCTCTGTCATATCTTAAACTATTCGCTGAGCTCCAGTACATTTCCCACCTGCTGGCGTAAAGCCGTAGTAAATTCAAGCATCCAAAAACATTACCTTCCCATTTCCGGCCTATTTCCATCCTCCCTTTCTTTTTGAAAATCCTTGAGCATCTTGTCTATCAACCACTGAGTATATTTATTAACACAATTGCCTGCTCAGCCCTCTCCAATCCGGTTTTCGTCAGGGTCATAGTACTGTCACTGCCCTGACCAAAGTTACCGACGATATTCGCCTGGCTATGTCTAACCAGCAACTCACTGTCCTAGCTTAACTTGATTTCAGTAATGCCACCAATACCGTAGATCATGATGTGCTTATTGCCATGTTTAAAGCGCTTCACTTCTCTGATCCTGTGGTCGAGTGATTCCGAAATTATCTTGCAACAATGCATACGAGCTCACACCCAAGTATCGAGGTTTTGCGATATCTCTGCTGGCGTGCCACAAGGTGGTGTTTTGTCCCCACTTCTGTTTTCCATAATCATCAATTTTCTTACTCTCCTCCTTTCCTGTTCTTTCATCCTTACGGGGACAATCTCCAAATTTACACACCTACTCCTGCCGATGACCTTAATTCAGCTGTCCTTAATATCAACAATGACCTTGCGACCGTCCTTCGATGGAGCCAATCTCATGGCCTAATTGTCAATCCGAACACAACGCAAATTATAGTCATCGGTTGATCTAAGCAGATAGTAAAATAAATAAATTAAAATTAAATTAAAGTAATATTTTAAATTTACAGTTACATGCTATCTAATACTTAGGGAGATTCCATGTGACAATCATAATTATAAATTAAAAGAAACCAAAGCTTAAGTTAAACAAAACATAAATATTAAAAACAAAAAGTAAAAAAAGGAACTAATTAAATATTATAAACATAAAAATGATTGTCCA